TAAGGGTCAGTCAGCCCTCGAGCCCAGAACTGGTGGCTCATTGTTGGTCTATTCAGGTTCCTCGTATCGAACCAAGGGCTTGTGCAGGTCGCTAGCGAAGATGTTGGTGGGGACCGGCCCTCGGCTTGATGCCATCTTTGCGAACGTGTCGGCTGCTTCGTAGTAGTATAGATGCATCATATAGGCATCATATAGCCAGCCAGCACCATAGCAGATTTTTGGGGAAAAATGGCAGCAGTACATGAGTAGTAGTAGTAGTATAGGAGTAGTTCAGTTTTAGGACAGTAACCAGTAAATGAATTCAAGTAACCAACATGTGCATCATAGTAAGTGGGAATATGCTCATGTGCATGAAACATTGCAACAAACTGAAATAGAACTAATACAAATCATCTCAATACAGATAGTCTAGACATGTCAGCTGTAGTATCTCGCATTTCTCACCAATATTAAGTTGTGAGGACCCCATATCAAACAATAGATGCATTCTTGGGAAGAAAAAAGGCAACATATCCTATGGTGACACCAAATCCAGATATCAGAGCACTAGACTCTAAATTTGGGTCATGTTAAATTTATGAATTGATGGGTCTTAAGTACATTTGGAAATAAATATAAAATCATGAGAGATGCAATTAGGTCAATAACATAAGATCTGCAAGTGTAGTAAGGGCTAGCTGAAAAAGGCTATTCAGATCAAAATAGGCTGTAAAAGTCAATAGACCAAAATGGGTAACCATAAACCACACTAGAAGTGAATTTCAAACACCTTATAAACTAAATCCATACCTCATAAACATGGTATATACAGTTTACATAAATGCCACCACGCTGTGAATATCATGACAGTAAGATTTCTACCATGAATCAACTGAAAACATCATGTTTATTACTTGTGGCGACACCAACATATGCACTAGCCATACATGACACAATGCCACAGATCCCAAATAAACCAACAAAGCACCCAAAAACATAATAGCAAACAAGTTGGAGCAACTGAGTAAGTAATAAACAGGATCCATGAAATAAGTTCAGCCCAGTTTCAAGGGACAGCTTCAACTGACCCTTCCAGTTTGAACACAGATAACCAGTACATGATAAGATTATTCCAACTGGCCAGAACACAGGAGATAACATGATTGCAAATGCCAAATTCCGTTAAGGGATCAAACTGAATTCTCACAAAAATAACAAAAAAGTGGCAAATGCTCAGTTTTCTAAATCGCATCACAGGCAGTGGCATATGCTCACAAAGGTAGAGTGCATCATAGGCAGCATACAGCATCACAGTCAGCATAGGACATCACAGGCAGCATATAGAGCACCATAGGCAGCATATAGAGCATCACAGGCAGCATATAGAGCATCACAGGCACGTCGGTGGCAGATGGCAGTGTCGGGGAAGCCGGAGCCGGGGAAGATGGAGCCGGCCATGGATGAGGATGCGCACGAGGGGGAGTCGGGGATGACGGAGGGATGCCGGTGGAGGGGCGCCAGTAGAGGAGCGCTGACGTCGGTGGAGGACCGCGGACGCCGGGCAGCACGAGCAGCTTGGCCACCCACCGGTCGAGGTGTGCTCATGCCAAACCCTAACGGGCACCGTACTAGGCCAGGCCGCTAGCCGGGGGAGGGAGCGAGGATGGCAGGGGAGGAGCGTGGACGCCAGAGATCTCGGGCACCGGGGCGCTCGCCGGGGTCGCTCGCTGAAGAGTGCGGACACCAGGGAGCACCGGGGACATGGGGCGGGGGGCCGGTGGCATAAACCATAGCAGCTTCGGGGCGACGGCTTAGTGGACTGCGTCCGCGCCAGAGAGGTCAGGGAGGAGGCGGTGGATTTTGGCAGCCTGCTGGCATTTGAGAGAGTGAAATGCGCCTAAGACTTAGCCAATTTGAGACATCCCACGCGCTCCAGCATATATATGGGCAGCGATTTGTAGGGGCAGCTGAGATTATAAGCCACCCCTACAAATCAATTTGTAGAGGCGGTTCCAGAACAAGCCGCCCTTACAAATATTTTTCATTTTTTCAAAATTCAAAATCCATACTTTCTTGTTTAGAAAGAAATAGTCTACTGATATATAATAATTTTTAATTATTCCATATATATACAAACAATTTGCTGACATATTTATATAAATAATTCCATACTTTCTTGTTTACAAATAAATAAAAAACATATTTTAAAAATTGAAATTTTGAAACTTCGAATATAATTTTAGGAGACTAAATGACCTCAAATTAAAATTCTTTAAATATCAAAGTTGTATAACTCATCAAAATGTACAACTTTTATTTTGGTCATCTTATCATTTGACCTTGTTTGAATGACTCAAAATTTGAATTTCAAAAAATTTTCAACTTGTAACAATATTTTGAAAGAGTATATGATTTGAACTGAAAAAGTCATGAATATAAAAGTTGTACAAGTCATCAAGATGTACAAGTTTCATTTTGGTCAATTTTTCATTTGACAAAGGTTGAATGATTTAAATTTTGAATTTTAAAAAATGACAACTTCAAACCAGATTTTGAAACCCTAAATGGTTTTTGCTAAAAAAGGCATGAATAACAAAGTTGTTGAACTTATCAAGATCTATAATTTTTATTTTGGTCATTTCTTCATTTGAGAAAGTGCTAGCAAACATTGTTTACAAATTGACATATCTCTTATCTGTTTCATAAACTATGTGTGAGATTCATAAATTTATGACCTATGTTTGCTAACACTTTCTCAAATGAAGAAATGACCAAAATAAATGTTGTAGATCTTGATGAGTTCTACAAATTTTGTATTCAATAGTTTTCCAGCTGAGATCATTTAGTGTTTCAAAATCTGGTTTGAAGTTGTAGTTTGTTTAAATTCAAAATTTAAATTGTCCAAACAAAGTTGTAGGAAAATATGAATAAAGTAATAGCAATAAGAACTCAACAAATTGATAGATCATGATTTTAAAAAATTTAGGAAAAAAAATAATCACATTTGGAGTTAGTACGAGGGAGAAACACAAGTTACAAGTTTCAGCCACATTGTCTTTCTCCCTCGTACTAACTCCAAATGTGATGATTTTTTTTCCTAAAATTTTCTAAAATCATGCTCTATCATTTTAGTCTGGTCATCTATCTTTGTCACTAATTTTAAATAATTCAAATTTTAAATTTTAAAAAATAACAACTTCAAACCCGATTTTCAACCAATATATGATTTCAACTATAAAAGTTGTAGAACTCGTCAAGATCTTCAACTTTCATTTGGGTTACATTTTCTTGTGACAAAGATTGAACAGTTCAAGTTTTAAATTTCAAAAAATAACAACTTCGAAGCAGATTTTCAAATACTAAATGATTTCATCTAAAAAGACGATGAATATAAAAGTTGTAGAACTCATCAAGATCTAAAACTTTTATTTTGGGCATTTCTTCATTTCACAAAGTGTGACACTTGGGCATTTCTTCGTTTCCTAATGGAGTGTCCTCTGGGGGCTAAGATTCTTGTACCACCTTTTTCATACCCTTCTTATTATTCTTTTTCCCCGTGGAGGCTTCGTCCCCACCGTAAAGGTTATTGTTCTTGTACCGACTGGCCCCACACCGGAGACATTTATCCAGTGACTTGAACGTTTCGCCACGAAAAAAGATATAGTGGTTGGGGCATGCATGGATTTTTTAACCCCCATTGTCAATGGACTTATGACCTTCTTCGCTTGGTATGTGTTGGCAGGAACTGAGTTTGGGTGTGGCAGCACACATGACAAGAGACGCAATAGATCATTGAAATTACAGTCTGACCAGCCGTACTTAGCCTTCAGGATGAGTAGCTCAAGCACAAAACATAGCAATGTCCAATGTGTTGGACAACCTTTTTCCACACCATATACAGTCTCCTTCGATGCTTTTGTCACCCTTTCCAAATTTTCTATACCTTTCGGGATCTTTAGTAAAATCTCTGGTCCAAGGACCTGAATCATTTCCACCAAATCATCAAAATCATCTTCATCACCAACACGTGCCCCCCCATCATTATTGGCACCACCTTCGTCGTTCCATCCTAACGACCAGCATCACCACCTTGTTCATTGCCAAACTCAGGATCCATTTGTATATCAAGCTCTTCTGAGTATTGGGACAGGTATTCTAGGGTTTCAGCGTCGTCTTCTTCATCATCGTCGTCATTATCACTACAAAAAATCTAGGCTTGTATGACAAACACCATTTGTCACGTTAAGTAAAAAAATTGTCATATAAAGCAGCTTATGACGAAAATCACGCGTCACGGTGGTCGTCATATAACGACAGTCACATAATGTACCGTGTGACAATTTCATAAGCAACCGTCACAAATTGTCTGACCTTTTGTGACGGTTACCAAATGTCATCACAAATTGTTCCCTTTTATGATGGTAGAAACCGTCACGTAATAGTTGGTCAATGCGTCACATTTTGCAACTGTCGTCACAAATTGCAGGTTGGGAGTCAGGTTTGGATGACTTTTTGTGACGTCCCTCTCATGTCATGTTATGTTTATGTAGATTATATGACACTGATGTTTCGTCTTGTATGGTATGGTTGTAGGCCATGTTTTGAGACAACTATATGGCGTCACAATTAGCCATGGCATTCATGACGATGCTAGCATTCATATTCAGTGACGACATACAAATCTTTCATCACATGGAACCAAAGCAGAATACACACAGATATATATATATCAGCCCAGCCATCATCGCTAGGCTTGACATCAGAAGGCAGTAATCATACACAATTCACAAAAGTGCATAAACATATATTCCACTGGTTCCAAACATAGTAGCAACCACATAGTTCCATCACAGATCCACCACATAGTTCCACCACAACTAAACCACAAGAAGTTCCACCATACAAGCATAAAGCACCAAGTACTGACAAAGTTCCAACCACAGATCAAGTTCTAGCAAGGTAGCAATAACTTAGACAAAAGCCCCATCCATAGAAACTGCTTCAAACCTACCTCAATCTTTCTAAAGTTTCAGGATAGCTCGCAGCAGTGCATTAGTCTCTTCAAACTTGGTATGCATCCACTTCACTTCCTCTTGGGTCTGGCGCAGCAAACTCTGGTTTTCTTGAAGTGCGGCCTGCTGAGCTTGAAGCTGTTCTTGCAATTCTTCCTGCTTCCTAGCAGCTTCATCTCTTTTAGCTTGGAGTCTCGCCTCAAACTCAGCTTGCATGCGTGCATGTGCTGCTGTCGATGAGGCACGGCCAGTCTTTGGCGGTCGAGGGACACCAGTGTTGGGAAGAAAGGTGGATGAACGGCTAATCTGGCTGAGACTGTCAGCAACAATCTTGGAGGGCAACTTTTGTGCTTCTCCTTCTTCTGGCTCTCTTTCCTTCTCTGCCACCATTTGTGCCTACAAAAGCTGAATGTAGTAAATAAGAAGTCCATAGAACAGTGTTCAACCAGGCATGTAATTGAGTACAGTAGATGTATCCTATCATTTTATAACTTACATATATTTCATTAGCAAGAGGAGTTCGACCACTTTGGGGACTATTCATGCATTCACCAAAGAAATCAACAGCATTAGGTTCCATGTCGTTGTACTTAGCCCTCTGCAACATTTAAAAAACTTGGATTACAATGAAGCTAAAGAGAGGGTGAACTCTGAAATCTTAACTATGAGGTGCCACTGAAATTATTTGTGTGACCATGAAATCTGAACTAGGAACACTTAGCAGCAAGATGGGTTTTACTGAAATCTGAACTAGGAACTAGGAACACATGCCAACTGCTAGATGCCAATTATTGTGCTAGAAATCACTAGACATAAGATTGGTTTTTGTATATTCTAAGAAATCAAACAGCATGTGATAACTTGACACAAACCAAGCACATGGTAAGTACTCTGTTAAAATTGACCCATCTTTCTTGCTAATTATACAGAAAACACAATGCCTGCTTTGTAGCGAAGTTTCAAGCAAACATGTACATACAGTTTGCATTGCACAGTAACGAAAAGGTTCAAGCCATTCATCAGGCAATCAGGTTTGCCTCCAAAACCTTTCACATTTTAGTGGAAGAAGCAATAGTATGCTTACCAAGCTGTACCGATGGGCAATATAGGACCTAGATCTAGTCCTTTGGTGCAGCTGCACTTCACCTCGGTTGACTTTATTCTTAGCACATCTCTCCTGCACCACAAATGCAATACGAAGTTTACACTGACATGCACAGTTTGCATTCCATATTAACAAAAGCAGCTGATGCTGGTCATGGACCTGATTCTTTGGGTCACACCAATACTCCACTAGTTTGATCCATTCCTCTTTCTTCATCTTTGGTGGAGGTTCTTTGGCCAACAACTGTTCTCTTGACAGTGACTCATTGAAGTACTTCCTTTTTAGGTGATACCTCGTCTGCCTTACTCCCCTCTTAATGATATCAGTGCATGCATCAAGGCTTGGTCCCTCGTTCTTAACGTCCACATCCAACCTAGACTGCAGGCACACAAATGATTTAGTAGACACAATTTTCACATGGGATTAGACTAATGCAGAGAAGTACTTTGAGTGAATTAGATATCTCACCGCCACATTCTAAAGCACTTTTTTGACTTCTTGTTGCCCCGCCTCATCATTATAATCCTTCCAGGATGGGAAGATAGGCAAGTTGTCTCTAAGGAGCACACCAGTTTCTGATGCCAGCTTTGCTGCCTCAAGTGGTACATCAGGTCTTTTCTTCCCTTCAGCCACTTGGATAGCCATCTTCTTTCCTCTATTTAGCATCTTCTCTAATCCATGACCCATGGTTTTCTTGCGGACTTCCTTTCAGCGAACTGCATTGGCAAATAATAAGCAACATGTGTTGCTATAGCAGTAACAAAGGATCATACTGAATGGAGAAAATAATGTTTGGAAACACGTATTGTTTACCTAGAACCAAGTCACTAACTCGTTCTCCTTCATCTGTATGACCCTCTGAAGTAGCAGCCCCAAATTGTTCAACTGACTCATTGAGGTCATTGCTTTGCCTAGAACTCTGTGCACCTGGTGAGGTTTCCAACACTTGGTTTACACTAGTTGTGGGAGTAGGTTCACGAGACAAGGTACCAGGGTTTGGACTAGGCGTAGACCTTGCTGCAGTTTGCCTAGGAGGACTAGGCACTGTGTTTGGAAGAGGTGAAGACATGGCTGCACCAGCCGTAGACATGGCTACATCATTGGGAGTAGGTTGATGAGACAAGGTAGCAGTGGATACACTAGGATGATACGCAGGGTTTGCACCAGCCATAGGCCTGGCTGCAGTTTGCCTAGTGAACTTACGAGGACTAGGCACTGTGTTTGGAAGAGGTGAAGACATGGCTGGACCGGTCCTAGTGATTATTGGATGAGTAGGCACTGTGCTTGTAATTTGGTTGGTCTGGTTGCTGCTTGTAGTGAGCTGGGCTTGCAGTTGGCTGGTACTAGAAATAGGTGGAGGTTTAGGGTTGGCTTTGGAAGTGTACTTAGGAGGCAAGGGATGTCTTATTTTAGGTGGTGGATGGCCACCAGGCGAAGGCATGGTTGCACTGTGCCTAGTCAATCTGGTTGGCATGCACGGTGGCTCCTAGTTGGCAGCCGCCTTTGTTGCCAACTTTTGCTTCTTCGGGTGAGTTCCTGGCACCATTGGACTTTCCTGACAAGAGAAAATGCATCTTATTAATTATGAAATAAGTGTCAAGTAGATCAATGAACTGCACTAAAGAATATGTTTGAAATGCATAGACCATAAACTTGTCAATTGCCTAGTAATGCATCTCACCTCATTAGAATCATCAGTGTGAGATTTGTTATCAATATCAGATGATGGATCATAATCATTGTCAGAATCACGATTGTCAGATAGTAGTTTCTTCCCTTTCCCCTCGGGCTGTTTTGGCATAGAACCTCTAATCTCTTCTGTTAAGATTGGAATACCCAAAGATTTAAAAACATCCTGAATTTCCTTAACATTCTTGTCCATGTCCCGCTCAAACTTAGTTTTGGTCATTTTCTTCTATTACTTATTACACGCAAACACGTAGAATGAGCAGAAATTGGAGTCAGTTTCTGAAAAGAATTTGAAGAAAAAACTAACACATCAGTAGTGAAATTGTAAAGAAACAAAAAAAACAGAATAAAATGAACAAAATGGGTTCCTTTGTCTTAACCAGTGGAATTATTCAATTAAGCAAAAGTAGTTTAGCATAATTCGATCACAGTGTTAAGCCTAGGCCCATCAATTCACACAACTAAAGGTAGGATCAGAGAGGACTCTTCCAAGCAAGTGTAGTTTGTACTGTCTTTGTAGTGTCTCCAACATACATCTCCAACAAAATTAACAAAATTTGTCACGTTGAGCACAAAGCATTGATCTCGACTAACATTGTAGGGGAGGGTGGGGTTGGATCTAGCAGTTGGTCTTACCATAGACGACGACTGAAACACGTTCCTAGAGGAATCCCAAAGAAACGATGGCGTGTAGACCGGCGACGTCTGCTTTGTCGGAGTAGAACGGCGGACCAGCGTGGAGGGTTACAAGGTGGCGGAGGTACCACCGGCGTTGGTGTAGTGGCGGTGCCCCACTTGCCTTGGGCCAGTGGCGGAGGTACCACCGGCGTTGGTGTAGTGGCGGTGCCGCTCCATCCTCTAGCCGGTGGCAGGTGCCACTACGGCCTCCAACGTTGGTGTAGTGGTGGGATAGGGGTATCCGTGCACGGGCGGAGTGTCGGTGGGATGGTTGAACTCGCCCTAGGGCATTGGTGTGCCGGCCGATGTGTAGGTGTGGCGGTGGAGTGGCGGCCGGCGATGCGACGACGGGAGGTGTGGCGGCGTGGTCGATTGCGTGGTAGTAGGTTTAGGGTTTTGGGATGGTGTGGTGGCCGGATTAGGGGAGGGAGGAGGCAGCCATGGTTTAGGGGAGGGAGGAGGAAGCCAAGGTTTAGGGGAGGGAGGAGGAGGCCATGGTCTACGGCGTGACAGTGCGGAGGCGGGCGGTTTGGTGGCGGCGGGCGCTGTGGAGGCGGGGCGGCGGCGGGGACGGAGATTGGGGATTTTTGCATTGTGTGCTGACCGGGCAAGAGGATAAGGCGAGGAGGTTTTGGATGGCTTGAGCAGGAGGCGGGGAGGGGCCCATGTATCGGTGAGAAGGAGAGCGCGGGTGCGGCAGTGAAAAATTGGGCTGACGCATGGGCCCGATTTGTCGGTGGCACGTGGTGGGCTGCCCCAGATGTTCATTAGCTCCCACCATTTGTTCAAACATTTTGTTTTTTAAATCTACGGCAAAATCTTGTAACAAGTTTTTCTCCTACATACTATCTCCAAATCAGACGTTTTTTTCTAAAAATTTCTAAAATCATGATCTATCAATATGTTGAGTTGTTTTCGGCCATATTTTCATGGTGCAAACTTTGATCAAAGGAAGAAGTTCAACTTTTAAAAATTGCAATTTCAAACCAAAATTTGAAACTCCAAATCACTTCATCTGCAAAAGTCATGAATACGAGAGTTGAACAACTCATCAAGACCAACAATTCTTATTTTGGTCATTCGGTCATCCGACAAAGTGATAGTAAAGTAGTTCATAAAAATTACATGTCTCACTTCTAGTTCATGAAACTCTAACTTAGATTGTAGAATTTATGAACTACTTTACTATCATATTGTCGGATGGACAAATGACCAAAATAAGAATTGTTGGTCTTGATGAGTTGTTCAACTCTTGTATTCGTGACTTTTGCAGATGAAGTGATTTGGAGTTTCAAATTTTGGTTTGAAGTTGCAATTTTTAAAAGTTGAACTTCTTCCTTTGATCAAAGTTTGCACCATGAAAATATGGCCGAAAACAACTCAACATATTGATAGATCATGATTTTAGAAATTTTTAGAAAAAAACGTCTGATTTGGAGATAGTATGTAGGAGAAAAACTTGTTACAAGATTTTGCCACAGATTTAAAAAACAAAATGTTTGAACAAATGGTGGGAGCTGATGAACATCTGGGCCCACATGTCATTGAAACGCTGGTCCACTTGGCACTAGCCTACATAAGAACTGGGCCCACATGTCATATCTAGAAGGGTGCTTCACTTGTGCTGAATCAGAGCACAGGCCACAGAACCCGCCACTGAGTTTGGTCGCCCGGCCACTATCGTCGGCCACCCCTTCGACCCCACCTGCCGGCGACCGTACCTCTGCCTGCAACCACGCCACCTCAGCCCCCCTCTCATCAGCAGCTGTAGCCGCTGCCCCTCGCCCCTATAGATGTCGCCCCTCCCCCCTGCCTGCTGCTCCCCCTCCCTTCTCCTGCTTGCTACCGACGGCGAGGCAACTCGTGGTGGTGCTTGGCTGGCCAGTTGAGCTGCTCGCCGTCACAGAAGCCCCCACCATGCTGTCACAGCACCCCCCACCAGTGGAGCTTGGCTGGCCAGTTGAGGCAAGGTGGATCTATTTTTGCTAAAATAGAAGGTGAGCTGAGTGAAGCAGAGTGTTCCCCTTTTGAATTTTTCTTGCATTGCCTTTACTTGTTTGCACCTAAATACTTGCAGATCGAGATGGATAGAAGATGGATTTATAAGAGTGCACCATTTTCACCTGACTTTATGTCTGGCGTTCAACAATTCATGGAACATGTCAGAGGTAGATATGGTGTAGATGACAAAATCAAGTGTCCATGCCGAAAATGCCTGAACCAGAAAGAAATAAGCCAAGATGATGTACAAGAGCATATCGAAATCAATGGTATGTCTAGGTGCTATACTAGGTGGTTTCACCATGGAGAGGAAGATAATGATGTTGGTCAAGATGATGATGGACAACTTGCTGTTGTACCTGAAGATATGTCATGGGATGGAAATGAACAGGCACCACTTGATGAGGAAGGACAAGCTGAAGATGTCATAGAAGATAGTGCACGGGGAGTTCAGGGGATGATTCAAGATTTGCACACGGCAACAAGCCATGACTTTGGTGGTGACTTATATAAAGAAATCATAGAAGAGGCAAAGCATGAACTTTATCCAGGTTGCACCGAAGAGTCTAGGCTAACTTTCATTATTAAGCTATTGCATATAAAAGTGTACAATCGGATGACAACATCTGGGTTCGATGCATTCCTTGCATTGCTTTCATCATCTTTGAAGAATGTGCCCGGACTTCCTAAGTCATATAATGAAATGAAAGCTCTGCTTCGGAAGCTTGGTTTTGGTTATGTTTCTATTGATGTGTGCAAGTATGATTGTGCCTTATTTTGGAAAGACCGTGAAGGCGATGATCATTGCCTAGTTTGTGGATTCACATGATGGAAAGTGAACAAGGAGGGCAGAAAGAAAGTTCCTCACAAGGTCCTTCATTACTTTCCAATTACTCCACGCCTTCAGAAGCTTTTTATGTCGAAGGAATGGGCACAATATGCAAGATGGCACAAGGAAAAGAGGGTACCAGTTGAGAATGAAATGAGACATCCTACTGATGGGGAAGCTTAGAAAGAATTTGATGAGACTTTCAAGTATTTTGTAGATGATCCATGTAGTTTGAGGTTAGCCATTGCTACAGATGGATTTAACCCATTTGGGCAGATGACCAATTCATATAGCATATGGCCAGTGATAGTGGTTCCATACAATTGGCCACCATGGATGTGTATGGATCAATCCAATTATATGCTTGCTTTGCTAATTCTAGGCAAAAAATCATCGGGCAAAGATTTCCATGTGTTCATGCAACCTCTAATAGCAGACTTGATTACTCTTTGGGGTGGTGTCCCTACTTATGATGCTGTTGAAGGCAAAGAATTCAGACTGCGTGCAGCGATTCTATGGGGAATCAATGACTACCCTGCATTAGGCACCTTGTCAGGCAGAACCACAAGGGGTTACTTTGCATGTGTGCATTGTGATGAGAATCCATGTTCTGAATGCCTGGGAAACAAGATTGGTTTCATAGGACATAGACGTTTGCTTCCACATGACCATCCCTGGAGGAAAAATAGAACTTTTGATGGCCACCATGAAAATAGAGAGCAGCCAAGGAAATTTAGTGCAGATGAGGTTATGGCAAGGTTGGATGAAATTAGAAGGCATACCAAGCGGAGAATACTTCTTCTAGAGATGGTATAGTTGGGGACATTTATCCTGAAATGGATTTGCTGCACATGGATCAGCTAGGCAGCCCTGTCAGTAGAGACCTTGTTGAGAGCATCCATCGACATGAACATACAGCTCAAGGTGAAGAAACATACGGCGAAGATGAAGATGACGAAGATGAAACCTTCCTTGAGTACCATAGTCCAGATGAAGGCAATATGTCAGATGAAGACAGTGATGATGACTAAACTTTGCATTTCTGGAGATTTTTGTGAACCATCCACTTCTATTAGTGATTCTGTTGTAATTCTGAACCATGAACTTCTATTAGTCATTCTATTGTATTTGTGAACCATGAACTTCTTTATGTGCCTTATTTTGTTGTAAGACATTATATGCAATTGTTATGTTTCAATGGATATTTCATTCATGATGCAAGTTATTCAGGCTATAATGCTGCCCAGATTTCATGGACATGATATATGTATATACTGTTGCCCAGAAAACATGATGCAAGTTTATATGACACATGACATTGTCATGTAAAATACAAAGTTTGTCATGGAATGCCCAAAAAATCTGGAGCAGGTTATATTTCTGAGATTATGACCGAAGACAATGTCATGGAAACTACAAAATTGTCATAATATATACATTGTGCCAAAATTTCATTCCACACAGGTTACACATCAAACACAGATCACAATTGCACAGGTTACATATTCATGCACACAAGAGAGGTCCAAGAGCACAAAGGCCAATAGTTCATACATGTCTTGCCAAACACATACATCCAGCACAATAGGTTCAACATGTTCTTGCCAACACTACAGCTTTTGTCAACATTACAGACAAAATACAAAGGCCCACACTTCATCACAATTGCCTACTTCAACACAACAGCTACAACCAAGAAGATGGCCAACAAA